GCTGGGATGGGTTGCGATGGGTTGCGTTGGGTTGCGATGTGCTGGGATGGCTTGGGATGGGTTATGTTGGGTTGGGATGGGTTGCGTTGGGTCTTTGACAGGCTTGCGTTGGGTTGCTCGCTGCCCGAGCAGCCGGATCGCAGCCCTAGTCTGATGCCGAGAAGCCGGCTGATGTTTTACGATATCCCCTTCCGGCTATTTCGATACGCTGCGTGCGGCCGGCGCGTGTCCTGTTGGGGCTGCAGCCCTGTGGATCTGTTTTTCTTTTAAAGCGGGGTGGAAAAACCCAAGAAAGAGAGAACGCGCGGCTGGATGAGAGGCAAAGCTGAGCAGGGATTTCAGCTCCCGCAGTGCCAACCGCTGCCGTGTGCTTGTTTCGGTGCTGCCCTCCCCAGAGGTATGGGAGGATGCTGGAGCGATCCCCCTGCCCGTCCCTGCCGCGGCCGGCTGGTTTCACCCGTGCTGGGCTCCTGTCCCCGCGAAAATATCCTGACCCCGTCGCTGGTGTGAAGGCGGGCGGTCTCAGCTGGGAGTGAGCCAGGAGAGGAGCTGTTCTCGCTTCACGTTCCCTTACCCTTGAAGAGCTCTGGACGAACGCCGAGGATGACAGACCTTCCACCCGGCGTCGTGCACAGTTAAAAGCTGCCGCCCGGCTGTCCGGCATTTCAGCGGTGGAGTTTCCCTTGTGCTCGGTGTGGCGCAGCTCAAAGAAGTGCTTGAATCGGCTGATGAACCCTGTGGCAATGCTGAAACGGAGTCAAAGTTGGGATGTGATAGTCCTCATCTGTAACACCGGTGACAACGCGATTAATATTTATAGCGAAGGTGCGTCTGCGTCTCTCCGAAGGCTCTGTCCTGGCTCCGGGGGGAAGAAGAAGCGGCAAGTTCTGAGGTCAGGTCCTGGGGCAGAGGAGGCATCGCGTGGCTTTGTACGGGCGCGAGCAGGTAAGGGGGGTGTTGTCCCAGAGCGTTGGATGTCACTTGCCGTCTGGCGTGACAACCGCTTCGTCTTCTCTTGGCAAAATAGTTTAAAAACTGAAATAGTTTAAAAACTCAGTTCCTACCTGAAGGTTAAGACGCGTGAAGCTCAACCTTCCTGTGAGCTGCAGGTTGATCATGTGGCGCTCAAGTGCTGAATTGGGGTGAGTTCTCTGGGTTTCTCTCTTTTGTCGAATATATATGTCAAATACATACCATATACTTCGTTTAATGCAAGGAGCAGCTGCCCCTCGGGTGAAGCCGGTTTGGACAGCGCAGAGTGATGTCGCCCCGTACTTAAAGACGAGGAGTAAATATCATTGCAGCTGTGGGGATTACAGGAGGGATATTTAATTTGGGAAAGACAAATGAGTCAACCCAAGCCCGGGGTGGTGGAGCTGAGTTCTTCCATAGCTGCCTGGTGAAGAGAGGGGAAGGTAGAGAAGTTACGTCCAGGGTTAGAGCTGTGGGACGAGCTCGTGGCCATCGAGGGAAGGACAAGTGACCAAAGGAGAAGCGTGCACAGCTGCTGGATGGAGCAAGAGTCGGGAAAAACTTCTCAGCTTGCTTTATTCTCTCTCCTTCGTCGCAGTCTGTGCCTCGCTGATCGGGGAGCTTGCTCTGATGTCTCCTCTCCAAGTTGCCAGTGCCTGGAATAGCCAGGAGAACACGACAAGGGGACGGTTTGAGTCCTGCCTTGCGGGTGAGGGCGATAAACTAACACGGTTACCTGCGGGGCCGCGGCCACGGCTGCTGGGAGCAGCTCGGGTTTGGTGCCTCAGCCGGAAAGATGCTGACGGTGCCGAAAGCGCCGTGCCGGAGGGCTGAGCCGGCAGGACGGGCTGGGCTGCGGAAGGGACGTACCGTGCAACGGCGGCTTCATTGGTGTGGCACCAGGAGGTTTTGGGGCACCGTAGCGTCCCCTGAGCGGGATGGGGCGCTGACGGGGGCGGTTGGTGGTTCCTGGCTTGCTGTGCGTCCCGGTGGGACGATGAAGAGGGCGAAGGTGTGAGCGGTGCCTCTGCCAGCGCTTGGCTACCTGCCTTGCTTCGCCTGCTCAGCCCGAGAACCCAAACGGTGCTGTGGATGGACCAAAGCAACCCGCACATCGCTTTTCCTGCTGCTTTGTAGCCTTTAAATTCAGTTTTCTGTGGGGACCTCAAAAATTTCCACTGGTTTGCTGCCACGCAGCTTCGCTTGCTTCTTAATTGGAATTGCCTTTGCGTCTCGCCCTCTGTTTTGGGGGCGGAGGGGAGCGCTTGGCCACCACCTGGCTGTACGGACCCGCAAACCGGAGGTTGAAACACCACCGAGTCCCATCGCTTCTGCCCCGAGGTAGGATCAAGTCTGGCAACATCGCTCCTGACAGACGCGCTTAGACTAGACGTGTGCGCGTCGCCCAGTTCTGGCTGCTTAGGAAATCAGCTGGCTGCTTTCCTCCAGCTAACGAGCGTGCGTCTCTTGCGAGCAGGGCGCAGCGGACTCCCGTCGGGCAGAGCCGCAGGCAGCGAGGGCTCCTGCTGGGATTCTCTTTTCTTTTCCTTCTGCGAAACACGGACCGCCAGGCTGGAGGGGAGTGGAAGCCATAGGATGCTGTTATTCCTTTCCCCGGAAAGTCTTTTTCTTTGCGCTGTGGCTGGATCCTGTTTGGGGAATGAGGTCCGAAACGGTCGGGGCGGCAGTTTTGGGGATTTGGGACACCCATCCAACTCCTTCTGCGCAGGCAGGAGGCTCCGGCAGAGACCGGGGCTGCCCCACGCTGCCCTAAACCTCTCGCGGAAAACGGGGAAGGTAAAACGAAGGGTTCGTGCCGCTCCGTGGATGCGGTGGCTCTGCAGTATCCCACCCACCTCCCGTCGTCTGTTCTGGTTTCCCTTCTCCCTCCCCCCTGTTGCTATTTATCCCAAATGCCATTTTTATCTCTCTTCATGCTCTGACTATACATTCGAGCTTCTGGGCAAGATGCTGGTAATTTCCATACGGATTACAACAGAAAAAGAAACATTCAAAAGCTTCCAGAAACGCAGCAGACCTGCAGTGTCCCCGATGGCACGGCCTGCTGCTAAGTTTAGAGAAAAAGAGGGGAAAAAAGAAAAAGAGAAAAATCTTTCTAACGTGGTCGTTTTGACAGGGAAAATGCTGGAAATGAATTCAGCGAAAGATTTTTAGACATCGCAGAACGTCCTCCTGGTTCGGTATCGCTCTGAAGTCCGGTGGTATGGTGTGAAATGAGGTGGTATGGTGTGAAATGAGGTGGTATAGCACGAAATGAGGTGGTATGGTGTGAAATGAGATGGTATAGCACGAAATGAGCTTTTTGACCCCAGTATTTTGGTGCCTGGCTTTTGATCCGGTACCTATTCATTACTTTTAAGAAATACCAGGCAGTCACTGCTCCTCGCTTATAGTCTGCGCTTGAGACCCGACCTCCCTGAAGGGGGACACCTCTGCGTTTCGCAGAGCCACTCCCCCCCAAAAAAAAGAGCTCTTTTTTCCTTTTCCCCTGTATTGTAATCTTTATTCGGAGGTGGGTCGGTGCTGTGCCCCCCCCCACCTTCCCGGCCACGCTGCCGGACTCGCTCTCCGTGGTGGCATTTAGCCCCGTCATCCGCTCCCACGCGGAACCGAGCAACGCACGTCCCTCTTTCAAACCCGCACGTCTATTCTCGTTAGCACGGCAATTCACGCGCGCAAAGCCGAAAGCCCCAGACAGATTGGTTTTTTCCTTTCTTTTTTTTTTTTCTATTTTTTTTTTTCCCCTCCTCCCCTTTTTACGAGCTCATCACCCATCCGTTCCCATTATACTCAAGGCTGCAGCTCTTTTGAAAACATACCGTGTGTTCGGCTGCCTAAAATGGGCCTTTTG